ATTCTGAATTCTTGATTCATGGTCATCATCTGTCAGTTGTTTTTTTTTTTTTTTTTTTTTTTGCACTTCTCCCAAGCTACAGTATTAGTACAACATGCACTTTCATGTATTTATATTGGTAGCATCAAATAGGATACACTGAAAAGTTTTTTCAAAACACAAAACCTACAAGAAACTCCCATCTTAGTCCGCCTCCTTTATATAAGTGGGTAAATTTCCATCCAACAATATTTGTGAAAGAATGTGGTCCCCATGACCATCATATGTCAATCACATGTGATGCCCTGAGGCACAGCTCTGGACATTTTCAGAGAAGGAACAAAACCAACTACAATATTAATAGAATTTCTTGAACTATATGTTCCATGTTAAACTTCAACTCCAAAAGAACATGACATGAAAGGAGATTTAAAATTAAACATAACATGATATAGAACAACATTTTTCTTTGCCAAAACTGACAATATTCAAGTCTTCAAAATGTTGCTTACTACTATTTAAAATGATATTGATTTCATCCTCTTCTCTTATGCTAAAAAATAGCAGTTCCTTTCTCTAAAGCATCTCCAAAAAAGTAACTCAAATAGAGGATGGTCAGAAAGATGGCTGAGATGGAACAGTAGGTCTTGATAGCTAGGGCCTGAACACTGTTACATTCACCAACTCAGAAAATACTTTGAGGGTGTAATATATATGTACCTTATTCTTTTTTTTTTTTTTTAAGTATGATTGTTTTCTTTTTCTATTAAAGATTTATTTACTTATGCATAAAGAACTAGGGTACAGGCCAGAGGTATAGGGGTGGTGAGAAGATTCACTGGAGACAGAGTGGGGAACAGAACAGGCAGATTGATGAAGTGCACTGCTAGAGAAGCAGCGGGCGAGACAGAAGAGGTCTGCTGCACCATATGGGTCACCTCCCTGGCTGGGTATCGAACTTGTGCTAAAGTGGCTGAGGCTAGCTTTATAGTGCTGAGCTGTGTTTTACCCTGTTGCATCACCAGGGAGGGCCCTTAAGTGTGATTGTTAAGCATGGTTTGACTCACAACCAGGGGCAAAGGTGCAAGCACAGGAACTAAGCAAAGCCCATCTACACTGGAAGGTGCTCTTTGCCAAGATTTATTTTTGCTCTTCCTGGGGGCACACAAATTTGAGGTTTACTGGAAGTGAAAATCTAATCATATGAAAGCTTTAAGGGGCAGAGTCTATCCTTAGTGGTATCTGATGACTTACAAGAATCATAAGGATTCAGAGAAGAACTGATCAATAAAATTTTCTGAAATAATGAAAAGGTTCTAACTATGTTCTGTCCTCTTGAAACATGACTAGAGGACTGAAGAACTGAAATTCAAAGTTTTAATTTTATTTAAATTGAATCGCCTTAAAGTATAAGTAACCATACTTAACTGGTGGCTACAGATCAGACAGAGAAAGCTTATAGCCCTCACTCTACCATTAGTGTAATTTTCTCAAATTCTCTTTTCTACAAAGATTTCAAAGATATATTGATATTCAAGCCCATGTGATTGTAAAATCAATGTGAATTAAACATAAATATACTAGCTCTACTATTGAATGTGTAGCCAACAATCTGTTCCACCTGTGGACTTTTCCACGTGTTATGACCTTATAGAGAAAAAGGAGAAAACTGAATGAAAGCAAAATAAATGAAAAGTCAATGGCTTGCCTGTACTGCAATTAGCCTCTCCCTGCATTTTAGTACCTGAAAGTCATACACAAACCCAGAGTGGAGAACGAAAGCCACAACTAGGAGTCCTGAAGAACAGGGACAGTGTAAATCAAAGGATGTTGAAATCCAATAACTCTGAATCTGCCAGGACCCTCAAACACTGTCCACTTCAAACTCTTTTGCAGATAACTAAGTAGCTTGAAGTGCTCAGTGTCCTGAGATAAAGCCAAGCTCAGTCCCAGCTCACCCAGTCTCTGGCCTCACCACCATGAAATTCCTTTAACTCTACTGAATCTTGAGTAGAGAAAGATGCCCATCTCATCCCAATCTCTGGCCAGTAGAAAATAGTCTGTATCCATGCTGATCTGCTAAACTTGCCTTTGTAAACACAGAATTCCTAAAAAAATACACTTAATTTACCAAGCACACTGTGATAAAGGAGATTATAATACGCAAATGGTTCAAGAAGTTGTTTTATATAGGGACAGTTTTTCACTTAATGTGAATTTTGCTATAAAAGTAGCTTGCTCTGTACTAAATAGATAGATGGGCTCAAAGGAGACAGTTCTCCACGTCTAAGCAAGTGAACCTGCTCTTACGTTTTTGAAAACTCACTAGGGCCATGAAAAGATGCTACCTGAGACAGTAAACGATTATTTTAAGGACAAAACAAAAAAACACAGCTGTCTTCCTTTTAGAGCTAAATGTCACATGTCATCAAGCTGAAGACTCTCGCTTCACAGGCAACAAAACTCAGATGGCAGATTTCATAGGACCTTGTCTAAGTCATACAGCTGGGAGGGGGGAATGGTCTTAGACACGTCAATCCAGAAATTCTGTCTCCAAACTCACAACTCTCTGTGACTCTTGAAACCACAGTGAGTGATATCTACAAACCAGAGAAAGAAAGAGACGATTATCTGGCATCTGCCATTGTTGCTTCAAAGTGTCTGTAAGTTTCAATTTGAGGTATGTTTTGACATAAGATATTCCACAGTTTGGTACATAATCACATGGAATACTGATGCAAAAAAGAAAATTATGTTTCAGGTGCTACATGAAAGACCAAGAATAAATCTACTTTATTACCTGCATTTTTTTAAACTTTTCTGGTCTTCAGATAATCTTCTACAGATAAATGCCACACTACTGCTGATAAGAGCATGAAATAAATAACACTGCACATTTTAAATGTCATGGACTTTGAATTTTATACTGTGCTCTTATAAATGAATCCATAAGAGACAAAGAAAATGCTAAATAAATAGAATGAAGGGGCTTACATTCTTGTGCTGCTGGTCTTGTTGATGATAACAGATTTCCCTGTTTGATCCACATTATGATCCAAACCAAAGTAAGCAGCTACTCGATGAACAAGCATTCTCTGGTAGGATGACATCTGAGGGAACTTTTTGTAATGATTACTGGAAAGAAATACAACAAAAAGTGGAATCAGCATTTTCTCTTTTGACCTGTAGTTAAATTTTACAGGTATACACACAACCATTTCTCTTTCATCCAAACCACTAAGCCCTTTTCCTCTCTGATATCACTTAATGTCATTACTTCCAGACAAATTTTCCACTCAATATAGATATATTGATTAAGCTACCATTAGGATCTTTGTCTCATCGTTGCCCATTTCTCTCACCAACGAGAACTTAATGGCTGCTGGAAAGTACTTTATTTTAGTCCATGATACCTTATCAACAGAACCAGGCACAGGACAAACGATGTAACATAATACATGGCTGCAGATGCCTATCTGGAGATGTGTCATTACATGCTTTACACTGAAAGCGGCACAATTATTTCCAGGCATAACTGCCTGCAGCCAGCCGGAGCCCATTAAAAAACTATAATAAAAATGAAAAGGGTTGCTTCTTGTTAGAGCGGCTCTATGGTAATCAGTGGCCCCCTGTTTATAGCCATTTTGTTAGGAATTTAACAAGCATGCTCTCACACAGTCCAAGCAGCCATTCCCACCAGCATCTAGCCCCTAACTACAAAAGCATCTCCATTTAACAGATCAGCAAACATATTAAACAGGGTTTCATCTGTCCCCAAATCTTTCCAGAATTAAACCCAAACACCAAACAGAGACATATCATGTAAATGAACAACACAGCGATTTCACATACTTGTTGTCACTAATAAAATCAATAATTTCCTGCTCCATTTTCAAGAGTATCATCCTGTCCCTGAAAAACAAATAGCATAAATAAAAGGTTTTAGGTACTTTCCACCCCCCTAAAACCTAACATATAACTCTTCTCTGGAGAATGCTATCCATTTTTATATGTGTATATATATAATTTTACTCAAGATAATTTTTTATCTCTCTTGTTAAAACTGGGGACTTCTGTGGTTTTGATGTTAATTACAACGTGAAAAGTATTAGGTCCATCAAATACATCAAGTAAATTGCACATTTTAAATTAATAAGAAATCACAACAAAGCAAAGCCCACGTGCATGGCTATCTAACTGCACTGAAGCATAACTGGTTTATTTGACTTTGATTCTCGTTCTCTGTTTCCCCACCCCTTAATCAGTATCTCTTTTTGACCAGAATTCATAAACTATAATTTATTAAGTAACTGCCCAGGAATTAAGAATAGCCATAAAGAGTAAACATGCAAATCATTAACAGAAACAAGAAAATACAAGACAGAGTTTAAGACATCAGAAATGGTTTCTGTAGTTTACACTTCCTTCTTAGAGCAGTTTGAATTAATGACTGATATCGGATAGGACCCCCATGAAAAATGAGCAGTTTATTTAATAATTTACCTGGAATTATTCTTTAATGTGTTAATCAAAAACTCGTGTAAGTCTATGCCAGTAGAATCCGTATATTCTTGGCTGCAATCTGAAATAAACAGCAGAATGGAACTGTCAGGGATGACGGTGGGATGATGGTGGGGAGTGGGGTGGAAGGTTTTCCCCTTTCCTACTTCCTTCCTGCTCAAGTGAATTTTAGGTGAAGCTATCAGTATAAAAGACAAGTTTTGAAACTAACAACATTCATTATAATATCAGAAGGAAAAGTAGTTTCCCTGAATGTGGAGACCCACTTGCCATAGGAGAGGGTTCTGGCACATTCTCGAGGAGGGGCGGAGTCAGAAATCAGTGTCCCTTCCATGCGATCAATCAGGAAGGACAGGCCCTCACCCTACGGTCCTCCTTCTCCCAGAACTCAAAGAGGAATGTGTTCCATGGTTTGAGGCCCCAATAACCTTCAACCCATAGATTGAAGGTTTCTCAAACTAGAGAAAGCAAAGAAGGAATGTACTCTTACAGTATTATCTAAATATTAATGAGGATAAAACAGGGGAGGACACTCGCTATTTCCATCTCGTTTAAATCTTAGCACGCTGGCAAAAGCTTAATTGCTAAAACTGTTTTAGGAACCTGTACTTCATTCCTGTATCTACCCTGGGGCAAGGATATTCAGCAGCAGAAACAATCACTATAAGTAGACCTGTGGCTAGAGAGCATAATATCAACTTCATCATCCCTCAGCTGAGTGGATGTGCTACTCTTTCACAGTTATTAAAAATGTCTACCACAAAGCTTTGAAATTACAGCATTCTTCATTTCAACTCATCTTAGTTCTGTTTTTACCTTTTATTTCCTTTTTTTTTGATTTGGTTTTGTATAATCATATGTATGAAAACAATTTAAAAAGTCTGGATTGTAGGTTTGGGGTTTAAAAAGAATGGCTTCTATTGGAAAGATTTTATTGAAGTAGAAGTGTGCATATTTAAAATGAGACATTATGTGGCTTCTATGGGTTGCAGAGATCACAATGATCTGTGCCATAAAAGAGTTAATCATGTATTCCACTGATGTACACATCCATGCTTTGGAAATAACATCACCTATCCACTGGTAACTGCCAATCCACTGTATGTCTTTTAAGATTAACATGAAGTTAAAATACACAGCTGAGTATTCTTCTTATTCCCCACAATCATTTAACTAGACCGATATATCTGAATTAAGAGCAGTTTTGTATTCATTCTTTGTACAAGCTTATAATTAAAAACGGGAGATTTGCTAGCTACACAAATAATGACACCATAAACAGAAAATCAAGCTCATATTTTTTACACACACACACACACACACACAATTATATACAGAGCTTCATGAGAGGTGAGTATGGGTATAAAGTCTAGAATGTATTCTGTGGCTATGTGCTCAAATTGAGTAAGGAATATGTTCACATTCACCTTTTGATAACATTCTGATCTTGGGTTTTTCAGAGGTTCTATCTTTGTTTTTATCCTTTTCTTTGTCTCTTTCAGAGTCATCTTTCCTAGATTTATCATCCTCTTGAAGGCTGGAAAAACTGGAAAGCTGTAAATGAATTGATTCCTGTTGGGGAAAAAATATAATAATTTAGGGCCAGATTCAATAATTTCTGTCTGGTTTCCATTTTGCATAGAGGTTATTAAGTAAAGGAAAATGAAAGCCAGGTGCAGATTTTTTTTTTTCTTGGTAAAAAATTAAACCTGTCATAAAAATAATTGCCCTTTAAGGTGAATTAAACTTCAGAAGTCAATGGGAGGTCATGAGAAGCAGCTAATACTAAAACTTTGCCTCATGAATATTAACGTTAAGCAAGTTAAATTCCCGTAGATCACAACTCTTATTTTCTCTACAGGTTTATTTTTAAACACCTAGGAAACATTTCTTTATCAGTAAGCTTGCATCATAGCTACTGACTGTCATGTCTGAAAAAAAAAGACTTCTTCAGTTCTTTTATATAATTCCTTATAAGGAGAAATTGGTACAAACACAGACAGACAGGCATTACGAATCATTACGAATCATGGTTACAGATAAAACAGACATAAAGGCCCTAATAGCCAATTTACAATCAAAAGTCTATTTTTGACCTCTATCAACAATGACCTCAGCCACTATGAAAAGCCAACCTATATAGCCACAGGAATTCTAGGAATGAATTACTATCATTCATTGCTTATCAATATCATTAATAAATCTTTATAATAGTTACACAAAACATTACCTCTTAGAAAAGGTAGGATGTAGAATTCTATTTTTCATCCGTTCATTATATGCCAATATTTATACTGCTTTAATTTTACTATCAATTATTCCTTTCTGAAGTGTTAAGATTCTCTTGAACTGATGCTCAGTATATACAGTATCGGGACCGGATACATTTTTATCTTTATTTGCTTTGCACCAAAAACACATTCTTTTATATTAACTTATCTATCAGTCATTCGGTTGGTAGTATGTTCACTGTTTTGAAGAAGAATGAGCCAAATTGTGTTTTTTTTAGTTTTATGAAAAATCTGTGATGATTAAAAAACTATGACAAATTAGTCAACGTTAAGCCTACTTGTGCTTATATAAGAGATCATTTGATGGGAAAGCTTCCTTCCACTAGTGACATTAAAATTTATGATGTAGGGAAAAAAATCCCAATGACTAATAGTGTTCCTCACTGAAAACTGAATTAATGCTCCTCTACATGTGACTATATTGATGTCTGTAGATTCCCCAATTATGGCCAATCTGGGATTCTTAGTTTTTTTTTTTTTTTTTTTTGGTAACCCAGCTAATCTAACAAGCATAAAACAGGAGTGCTCCAAAGCCAAATTGCCTTTGGGGAGGGGGTTCACTGTGAGCTACTGGATAGAACAAAAGTCATCATGGTTGGAGAGACATGTAGCACAGAGAATGAGATAAACCCTGTTCTCATGCTAAATGGTCACCTGAGCAGGTCTCTTGACATCCACATGCTTATCCTGGTGGTGGACATACACAAATATATAAAACAGACTGTAATTTGACTGTAGGGTCTTTTATCACATAGAAGTTTGACTGGGAATGTTTTAAACTACAAAAGTTCAGAAAGAGTTTAGGGCTGTGATTTGCTTCTATCTGCTAAGGAAACAGCTGGAATATTCCAGGCCAAGGAGATAGTACTGAGTGGAGGAGAATCAGCTCAAAAGTTGATCAGGTGGGAAGCGTGAGGGTAGCAGGCCTTGGGAGTGGTCTCATTGCTTCTTCAAAACCGACTGAACCATTTAGCCTCAGTAAGTACAAATCTAAAATCAAAGAGGCTTGGAAATATAAATGCAAAATCAGAGGCTAAAGGACATGCACAAAAAGATCCTACAAACTGATGCCTTGTGTGGACAAATACTATCTCAGAAAAATACCTATCTTTTCTATACATAAATATACATTATGGTGTGGAAAGAACACACAGAAGTGCTATAAAGTTGGTAAAAAACAATCTGTTATTTTTTAATATTTTTATTGATGTGCTCAATAATAAAATACAAGTGTTAATAAATACATTGGTACAGGATAAGTTTATATCCAACAACAGTTAAAGAATGATTCAAGTTGCAGTAATACACTGATAAGTAAATAGTATTACATTAGAAAAGCAAAACTCCTTTAACTTAAAGACAGACTGAACCATCAGCTATGGGTCTGAGATCAAGTAATACAGGTAGCAAGAGTTTTTCCTACACAGGAAAATGAAGGCAGTTTTCCAAATACTGAGAATATACAAACATTGGGGAAGCAATACATTCCGTATATCATATACTTCTGCCAGTGTTTTCTGGGATACAGCTCCCAAATTTTGTAAGTGCCGGTGGTACCTAACGAAGGCATTGCATAAGCTCAAAAGTCTGCTTCTTTGTTTTCTAGAAAAGTAGCATGGCCACTTGCTTCTATGTGTCTGGGTATTTTCTATCAGCCCCTTGCTCCCATCACCCCTCAGTCAGTCCAAAGGGAAGCTCGCAGGTTCTACTTCTCCCCTACAAAGCTAGTCTTGGTTACTGAGCTCGGAACCAGCAGGAACAAAGCACCATTTGCATCTGATTTCTCTGCACCAGTGGTATGGAGAAACTAGACTTAGGTCCAGGACGGGCACTATGTACAGATGATCTCTTAAAAAAAATTTCCTCCTACCTTGTCAAATGGGATTGAAAGCAAAGTAAGTCTACAAAGGCTATCCTCCGCTGCCTGGCACTAGTGGGGACTACAGGGATGTTACTTCTCCTGAGTCTGTCCTTCTGCAGAGTTAACAGCCACCAGGTGCAGTGCATTACAAGTCCTTGATCAACATATAATAATACAAGCCGCAGTATTCACATTATTCCCCCTTTTCAGAATCCATTGAAAATAGAAGCACAGAAAAATGCTGAAGAAAAGCCACACATTTCTCAGAGCCCAAGGAAAATAAAGCTTGTGTATGAAACATAGTGACGACCACAGGTAGCCTGTCCATGCCTCACGCCATGGGCCACGGCAAGGAAACGAGGCTAGGGGAAAAAAATACTCTTAGAAAAATCTAGAAGGAGTTTATTTTTGGTCCTTTTAAAGAAAGTGCTGTCATTATTTTCTGTGTCCATGAGGAGAATTTAGAGTATTTCAATTAAAGTAAAAAAGAGCGAAGTCAAAACCAAACCAAATAAAAATAATGATAATCAGTTTTCCCTCCTCTGGCCTCAGATACATCATTTACCTCTGTCTTGCCCACGTTCAGCCCCTGAAAAAGTAAGGGAACTTTCAGCAGCAAGACTATTTTTATAAAAGATAATGAGATGGCTAAAAGGCAAACAGAAATAAATATGATGTGAAGTTTTCCATTTTGTCAGGGGAGGATTCTGCTGCAATTTGAAATTTTAGAGCCTAATTGTCCCACTGTAAGAAGCAGAAATAATGCAAGGAAAATGCAGCAATGTGTTAATAGCATTAACTTAAATTCACCATCTGCTCAGATTCATTTCTGGACAAATTTTCCAATTTGAGAAATCTCCACAAAAGGCCCTACGAGCGTGTCTCCAAAGCTCAATGCACCTTATTTCTAAAGTTTCCTAAGTGCCAAGAGCTGTGTTTTTTGTTTTTGTTTTTTTTTTTTCTTTTTTATAGGCAAGTGCATTTGGGGAACTTGAGAGGTAAGAATCTCCCAAAAGGAAGGAGACGGGATACTTATGACTGTATTTGGATCCCTCATCAAGAAAGAGCCTTTGAGGAACTGTAGCACTACTGTGCTTACTTTTTAAGTTTTAATCTAAATTCTTTTGAATTCCTTTCCATTTGCAGTTTTCAGAGGGTCTGGAAAAAAAACAGATGTGATACTCTGTGACAAACTGTTAAACTAGTTTAGGAGGTCTCATAAACAGGAGATAAAGTCAGAAAAGTCTTTCTTCAGTAATTTTTTTTTCTCCCCCAAACACTGTTTCATGTTGAATTAATACACATGCACTCAAAGGCGGATCCCATTCATGCAGTAAAGGAGAAGGATCTGGGTATACCTGATCCTGAAGACTTTCTCCTCCTGGTCTGGCTGAGGATTCTTCACAGACAGCAAGACTGCGAGTCAGTTTACCTTTCCCTGCTCCTGACTGGGAAGGGTAAAGAAAAAGGAAGGAAAGGAAAATAAAGAAAACAAACAGAATACTTCTCAGACTGTCAAATCAACTCCATATTTACTTGATACTCCCATCAGGTGTTTACAACTGAGCTTCAACCTCAGGTTCAGGCTGTCTACACTGGGGATGCGGGTGTAGGAGAATGTGTGTGGATGAGAGTTAAGGAACACTTCCAGCAACTTGTGCCCATTATGAAGAAGAGGAGACAGGAAACATGAAGAATGAAGTGTTGACATTTCATGAAAATACAACCAAGAAAAGATAGCAAAATTTAATTTCTACCAAAGTTTGTGTTTAGAAGAGACTTGACTGAGAAGATGCTTTAAAGAATTAAAAATGTGTTCTAAACACCAAGTTGTTTACTTCAAATCAGAAATCAATTGTAGAGACTAAAAAGCCACATCAATTTTTATTTAATAGTGAAAGCTAAAGAAGTGATTCTTTGTTATGTGACACACTGCCCAATCTATGTCCAGATATATACATTTGAAGCTATTTGAACCTTAAATGTTCAAGTTAAAAAAAACCTAACATACAGAGCAAGAGAGAAAGAGGCATAGATACCACCTCCATTGAATGCAGACAGCACCAAGACAGTCAAGACCCACCCCGATATCTACACATGACCACCTCTACTGTTGGCAAGGACTTTAATGCTGATGTGTAATAAGCAGCTGCTATCCATAGTATCAGTCTAT